AAACTGGCCCTGACTTCTGATGCCAGTCACAAGTCTTTGGTATCCCAAAGCCTGTCACACTTCTGCGAGTGAGTGTGCCACTGCACTTCAGCCTGGGCGACAGAGTGAGACTCCAACTCAAAAAAAGAAAAGAAAAATTCTGTGCCAGGAATGAGGGACAAAAACTAGATTAAAAAAATTCTATGACAGATGTCTGTGGAGTGTGGTGGCTCACGCAGATCCTGGCACTTCGGGAGGTCAAGGCAGTAAGACTGCTTGAGTCCAGGAGTTAGATACTAGCCTGGGCAAACAGCGAGACCGTGTCTCTACATAAAACAGAAAAGTTAGCTGGGCGTGGTGGTGCACGCTTATGTCCCAGCTACAGGAGGATCTCTTGAGCCCAGGAGATCAAGGCTATCGTGAGCTGTGATTGTACCGCTGCACTCCAGCCTGAGTGTGAGGCCTTGACTCAAAGTACATACATACGTACGCGCAGATGTCCTCCCACTCCCTACTCAGACTTCAGTACCTTCTGCTGTGCAGCCCTCCTATATAGGACAGACATCCTCCTCCCCCTACTTTGGTTTCAGCAGCCCCTTACAGCCCACAGAATGCCTACTTTATTGTTCCACAGCTAATGAGTTTAGGACTCTTCTGGAAGAGCAAGGACCTTATTTTATAAAAGGAGCATTACTTTGATAACAAAACCAACAAGGCCAGTACAAGAAAAAAATAAACATCACTGTCACTCAAGCATAGATGCAAAAATCCTAGACAAAAAATATTCGCGAGGTAAACCTAATGATATACCAAGTTGGTTTATTCCAGGAATGGATATTCAAAATATCTATTAGATGCATCACATTCATATAATAGGATAAAAATTAATACATTTATGATAAAAACTCAGCCATCACTTGTAATTTAAAACAATCTTCAGGCTGGGCATGATGGCTCATGCCTGTAATCCCAACATTTGGGGAGGCGCCAAGACGAGAGAATTGTTTTGAGTCCAGGAGTTCAAGACCAACCTGGGCAACATAGTGAGACCTTGCCTCTACAAAAAAAATCAAAATATCAGCCAGGCGTGGTGGCACATGCCTGTAGTCCCAGCTACTTGGGAGGCTGAGGCGGAAGGATCACCTGAGCCCAGCAGGTTGAGGTTGCAGTGGCTGTGAGCATGCCACTGCACTCCAGCCTGGGTGACAGGGTGAGACTCCAACTTAAAATAAATAAACAAACAAATAAAGACAAGCTCTAAAATGGGAGAGGAATTTGCAAAGCATAAATGACACAGGTTTTGCATTCAGAATGTGAAAAACATTGACAATCCCATTGAAATCGGGGTAAGATGTTAAAAAATAATTACCTCACAGAAGATAGCTGATGGCCAATAAACAATGAAAAGGTCCTCAACTTTATTATAAGGGAAATATAAATGAAAACCACAATGAGGTGCTATCATACACCTCTGTGAAAAGCTAGTTAACTTCGTATTAAGACTCATAGTACCTGGCAACCATGCAAAGCGATTGCCACTGGTGAGAGTCCAAATTGGCAAAACCTATTTGGAAGTTATTTTCGTATTATCTGATAAAAGTTGAACATTCACAAATCCAAATGACTCAGAAATCCCATTCTTAGTCATGTACCCAACAGAAAGGCGTGCACATATCTACCAAGAGACAAGACACAATTACAAATGTTCTTTGCCGCATTCTTCATAGTACCCCAAACTAGAAATAACCCAGATGCCCATCAATGGTAGGATGGTGAGTTATGGCATATTCACACAAAGTAATAATTTTTTAGAAGAACACAAAGAACAGACAAAATAATTAAAAATGAGCATGTAAATCAAATCAGCAAGATAAGGTAAGACAAATGGAAATGGGAAGCAGGAAGAGATATTTATGAAGAACCAAGTGGAAATTCTAGTATAAAAATATAATTTTTGAAATGAAGAATTCAGTAGATAATTGGAAAAACAAGATACAAATCAAGTTAAAGGATTCTTCTCAAAGGTTATCAGGATGAGAGAAAAAGATGGAGAGAAAGAAAAAGGTACTGAGGGTAAAAACAAAACTGCCAAAATGTAATCAATGTGAAGAAAGAGTAAGAGGGTAAGAACATTTTTAAAACCAATACTACTTGGTTTCCAGTACTGGGCAGACTAAAATATCTGAAAATCTCTGCTTCATAAACTATAACAAACGTTCTTTGAAACCATGCACTGAGTTTGCAAGAAAAGGAATGTTGTAGGGACCTCAATTAGGAGACGGAGTGGAAAGCACAGCAGCCTGAGGTAGATGAGACAGCCCAACAGTGACAAGAGATCAGGACTTGCAGTCCACAAAAACTGAGAGAACTCCACTTAAAGCTGGGACCAGCGAAGAGCTACACCTTCAGTGAAGACACAACCCAGACAAAAGGCCATCACTAGTCCAGGGAGATAAGGACATTTGTCACATGCTGAGCTCCAGGTGTACCAAAAGCCTCTCTTGAAGATTCAGCACCACAGGCTTGTCCTTGCACTGGTTTAGAGTTCACATTGACAACTGTTCATCTGGGAAACCACAGGCTGAGGAGTCAATGTAAAAACAGAACCTAGCCATTATACTCATGGAGAAACCCAGCAGAAGAAAACATAGCCTGACTTGGAAGGAACCGTTCTGAACCTAGGTAGATGGCATAGGATCCCTCACAATAAAGTCCTTAGTCCATTTGTGCTGCTATAATAACAAAATACAGTACCACAAACTGGGTGATTTATAAATGACAAAAATTTATTTTTTCACAGTTCTGAAGGCTGAGAAGTCCAACACCAAAACACCAGTAGACCTGGTGTTTGGTAAGGGCTACTCTCTGCTTCCAAGATGTCACTTTGTTGCGGCATCCTCACATGGCAGAAGGCAACAGAGCAAAAAGGGTCTAAATAGTTCCCTCCAGCCCTTTTATAAGGCACAAAGTCATTCATGAGGGCAAAACCTTCATGACCTTATTATGCCCAAATACTGCTGCACTGGGGATTACATTTCAACATGAATTCTAAAGGGGATACAAACATTCAAAGCACCTATGGGAGATTAACTCATACTCTAAAATTTATAAAATTCCTTGAGAAAAAAATCTGATCAGTAGAACTTCAAAACTTCAGATGACTGATCTGAGTGCAGTAGTGTTTACAATTAATTGACCAGTTACAGATTTCTTTATTCCTTCCCATTCCTACTGCTTCATTTCACTAGCCAAAAAACAAAACAAAACTGGGTGCAGTGCCTCATGCCTGTAATCCCAGCACTTTGGGAGGTGGAGGCGAGAGGATTGTCGGAGTCCAGAGGTTTGAGAATAGCCTGGGCAACTTTGTGAGACCTCATCTCTGCAATAAACCAATAAGTTAGCCAGGAATGGTGGTGCTTCCCTGTGGTTCCAGCTTCTTGGAAGAATGAGGCAGAAGGATCATCTGACCCCAGCAGGTCGAGGCTGCAGTGGTCATGAACATGCCACTGCAGCCTCAATCTGTTGGGCTCAGGTGATCCTTCTGCTTCAACCCTCCAAGTAGCTAGAACTACAGGTGCATGCCACCATGCCCAGCTAATTTTTAAAATTCATTGTAGAGAAGAGGTCTCATCAAATTGTCCAGGCTGGTCTTGAAGTGCTGGAATTACAGGGATGAGCCACCATGCCCGACATATGGCATATTTAAAATAATTAAATTATTTTTCTATTTGCTCCACACTTCAACAAATGATTACTACTAATATACTTATAGGATAAAGAGAAAGAAAGGCTTTCAATGTATATGTGCCGAACCTTAGATGTAAGACTCCTGTTAGGAAACTCCGAGGAGATGACAGATTTGAAAGGAAGAATCATGAACAGACAGTATATACCAATGCTGTATAATAAAAACAACAGGCCGGGCGCAGTGGCTAATGCCTATAATTCCAGTATTTTGGGAGGCCGAGGTGAGAGTATTGCCTGAGCTCACGGGTTCGAGACTAGCCTGGGCAACTTGGTGAGACTTCATCTCTACAATAAGTCAAAAAATTAGCTGGGCAAGGTAGCTCGTGCCTGCAGTTTCAGCTACTTAGAAGGCTGAGGTGGACGAATCACCTGAGCCCAGCAGGTGGAGGCTGCAGTGGCTGTGAGTGTGCCACTGCACTCCAGCCTGGGTGACAGAGTGAGACTCCGACTCAAAAAATAAAATAAAAACAACAGACCAACAAAACAAAACCCCAACAAACCCTGAAGGTTTGGATTAAGCTCTAAATCTAGCAGTTTAGGTAACCTGTGAAATTCTGCAAATAACCACAGGCTTTTAATAAAATGAACAGATTAAAGCCCATGTTAGAAAATTATTTACTTCATTTCTATTGATAATACATGCATTTTGGTGACTAACAGCAGTGACTCAAGTTGCTTAGTTAGTAGCAACAGCAATAACAAGTAGGCAAAAGTGGCTAAAACCCTCAGATTTGATTAATTTCTCAAAGTCATCTGAGACAACAGCAAAACACTTCATGTTTCTAAAATAAACTGTTACAAATTAAACATAGAAGTTTCCCTTGTGGTAACAATAAAACTGCTAAGCTTCTGGAATTAGAACCACAGGTGTGGGCTACTGGGTAATTTTTTATGTTTTGTAGAGAGAGGGTCTCACTAGGTGGTCCAGGCTGGTCATGAACTCCTGGCCTCAAGCAACCCTCCAAGCATGGCCTTCCCCAAGTACTGGGATTACTGGCATGAGCTACTGTACCTGGCCCTTTAACATTTGTTTCTATATGGAATGTATATAATTCTACATATTTACATTATCCAATGTAATTGCACTACATTTAATTTTGTGGTAAGAGTATATTTAAGGGTAAGAAGTTCTAATATTAAGTGTCCCTCCAACAGTTATTTTTTAAAGTGTTCAATTTTCTTTCCCTTTAAAAATGAATTAACTTAATAATAGCATATCAAATAACAGCAATTGATTTATAAATTAAAAATACTGACAAGTTCAACTTCAATGCTTACATTTTTAAACAAGATTCAACATCTTTTATTTACATGTTTATGACATACATTAAGGTCTTACACAATTAACTAAATCTAATAACAATGGTGAGAATGGAACATAAAAGACACAATTCCAAATTTTAGTCAAGTTGAAATACTTCTGCACTAACCAAAAGATAAACAAGCAGCCATTATGAAGTTACGGGCTGTATGTCGTCAATTCACTTCTTAAAACTGAAAGTCAGCCACATAGCTATTAAAATAAGGAGAAATTTGCAAATGCAAATATTATATATACAAGAATAATGCATGCACAACTATCACATTTATTCTTTATCCTTAAAGCCATTTTTTAAAAGAAAGCTGGAATAAGCATCTTAACAATATATGTACATCAAGGCACATTCTTTTCTTGTGCTTTAGGAATGATTTACGTGTGATCTGCTTATACCTTAATTTTATACCTTATACTGTATAGCTTCTAATACCTAAAAGCTTAATTTTAACAATTACAGCTTGTGTGGTAGTTTCCTAGAGAGAAATGTGGCATCTCCCATGGTTATTTTGAAAAATCAGAAAACTGGACAGCTTAAAGAGGTGGGAATTTAAAAATCAAACACATGAATTAATATATTAGGTAACTTTTAAAAATTAATCTTTTGAACCAGTAGTTCAAAGTAAGGTTAAAAAAAATTACCTTCAACAATTTGGTGGGACCATAATCAACTAATTTCTTCAAGTATTATACTATAATGAGGGCTGCATGGAAGAATTTAATATTCTGAAATTATCTGACAATTACATGGTATCCACAGGACTGCTGTGAATGTCCCTATATTGCTAACCTATTTCAACTGCAGTTTTTCAACAAAATTAAACAAACATGATACAAAAGACAAAAACATACCAAACCTAACTTGTTTATTCATTAACTTGTTCATTTTTCAGCAAAATAATGAGATTCTTTTTTTCATTTATTTGTCCTATGTTATCAAGGAAAAATTTCCCATCAACCATATCCTTTTCTCATAGTCAATTTACTTGCCTTGAAGAGACAGTATAGTAAGGTTTTAATAGGCATTTCATGCATTTTAATTGCATTTTAAAAATTAGCTATCATTTATGGGTTCCCCCTATAGATAAATATATTGTGCAAACTTGATAACATGTAACTCATTAAGTGCTTTAAAATAAAGAATCCCTGACTTAAAAGGAGTTAAAATAAATAGTAAGTCAAGAACCATAGATCTAAAGCATTTAAAAAATGTAATATACCTATGTATCCTATTAAAATGCTTTATATTATAGTTTTCTTTTTAAACAGGGCAAATGAAATCACAGAACCTCTATATTTTGAGAATAAAACAAGAAAAGTCAACTGATGCAGCCTTTTAAACTCAAAACATATAATAAAATAATGTCAAAATGCAAATGAAACTGTACAGTTTGAAATTTAGTACAGTCATTTATAAACATTAATTCATAAAAGGTATCATGATAAACCAATGCCATCAAATAGATTTGTTTTCAATTTCTTTATAATAAATGGACTTTTCTACAGAACTCATTGGCCAGACAAAAGGTTTGGAAATGTAACGTCACCAACAGCCCAGAGCCTTGACATGTAAACTCTAAGCAGACAGTCACGTGGTATTGTAAACAACTGTTCTGTGAGTTCAGTGCACGAGATTTCACTTTTTATCTTCACTACTATGTTCACTCTGTTTCTGAAATATGTGCCACCTCTACTTTAACAGTCTGAATGGCTTCTGCAACTTCAGATAGCTTCTGTCCTTGCTGTTGTGCCAATACATAATTAACCACTTGCATAATACTTTGGTCAGAAAGCGTAGATACCGATGGATACTCTTCAGTAGCTGCAACAGCTTCAAGCGCTTCCATAGTTTCTCCTGTTACCACCACAGTCTCAAGTTCTTGAGGACCACTGCTTTCTTGTTCCTGCATGTCTGCTGTTAAGATGCTAACAGCATGTGCCACTTGAGTTCCTTGGTTATGGAACTGAAGGGTGTCTTTTTCCAGCATAATTTTGCAAGGCACATAGTCTCTGTGGAATTTAGTCATATGCTTACGGAGTGTTCGAGCATCTATGTAGGCTTCGCTACATACAGGACAGACATAAGGCCGTTCACCAGTATGTGTTCTGACGTGGCGTTTTAGAGATCGGGCATCAGCCCAAGCTACTCCACATGTTAAGCACTCAAATGGTTTAACTCCTATTAACAAAACAAAACAAAACAAAACAGGAGTGTCTATATGGTGAGATTCAAGTACCAAAATAAATTAAAATGTCTACTAGTTTTTTGTGTGTGTTGGAGTCTCACTCTGTCAGCTAGGCTGAAGTGCAGTGGCACACTCATGGCCACTCCAGCCTCAAGCTGCTGGGCTCAGGTGATCCTTCTGTCTCAGCCTTCCAAGTAGCTGGAACTATAGGCATGTGCCACTACTACAGGCTGATTTTTTTATTTATCGTTGAGACAAAGTCTCACTAAGTAGCCTGGGTTGGTCTCGAACCCGAGTTCGGGCAATCCTCTCACCTACGCTTCCTAGGATTATAGGCATGAGCTATCGTACCCAGCTCAAAAAAAATTTTTTTTTAATTACAGTACTCATAAGCCCTTATATCTTGACTATGGCAATCTTCTATTAAGGATGTAATGGTTTTCCTTAAAATAAGCAAGATTCTATACTGTAATCTCTCTAAGTATACTTCCATGGACAGAAGTTACAGAGAGAAAAATTTTAGCTTCCACGCATAATCTCATTTATTCCTTCACAGCAATCCTGTAATCCTAGGGTAGTAAAACAGAGGCTTCAAATAGTTTAGTGCAGCATAACAGTGTTGATATAGAATTAGTTTCACTAGAAAAGGAATCTATCAATATACACAATAATTAGGTACTCAGGTTCAGAATCATCTGTCACTTGAATAAATACATGAAATTAATCTCTTATTAAGGGAAGTAGAAGGGCTGGTGAAGGGAGAGCTACCACTGGATTGACTTTTATTCTATTTAGATACATATGACACTAAGTAGTTACCTTCGTGGTTGTTCATGTGTCTCCTGTACTCTCTTAGCTGAGTGAATTTTCTCCCACATTTTTCACATACTCGTTCCAGGTTCTGTTTTGCTCTTCCTTTTTTTCCATGGGTAGCTTTCTTTACATGCCTTCTGAACAAAGCTTTTTCATAAAATTCTTTGCCACATATATTACACCTAAAACAGACAAGATGACGAAATTATTTTCTCCAAAGCACCAACAGCCCTAAGAAGCAAAGGACAGATGTATCTCATTTTAAGTTCAACTCCTTCTTAGATTTACCCACCTATAAGGCTCAGTGACAGAATGAGACTTCACATGGGAATACCAATCTTTTTTCCAACTATAGCACTTATCACAAAATTGGCACTGGAATGGCTTCACACCAAGATGCTTGTTCATGTGCTGGCGAAGATCTCTAGCTTCAAAGAAACTTTTTTCGCATCTGCAATAAAGTTCAATTATCCAACTGGATCGTCTTATTCACTTAAAACAAGTTACTAAGAACTCAACATATTTTTAGGTTTCTAGAATTCCCCGACATGATCCCAATTTACAAAAAAGGCTGGGCGTGGTGGCTCACACCTATAATCCCAACACTTTGGGAGGCTGAGGTGAGATGATTACCTGAGTTTGAGACCAGCCTAGGCAACTTGGCAAGACCTCATCTCTACAATAAAGGTGGCTCAGCCTGTAATCCCGCGCCTCTGGGAGGCTGAGGTGAGTGGATTGCCTGAGCCCGCGGGTTCGAGACCCGCCTGGGCAGTGAGACCTCATCTCTACAATAAATCAAAAAATCAGCCGGGTGTGGTAGCGCATGCCTATAATTCCGGCTACTCGGAAGGCTGAGGCGGAAGGATCGCCAGAGCCCAGCAGGTGAGGCTGTGGTGGCCGGGAGCGGCCACTGCACTCCAGTCTGGGCGACCGAGTGAGATTCCGACTCAAAAAAAAAAAAAAAAAAAATTAGCCAGATGTGGTGGCGTGTGCCTGTATTCCAGCTACTTGGAAGGCTGAGGCAGAAGGATTGCCTGACCCCAGCAGGTCGAAGTTACAGTGGCCAAGAGTGTGCCACTGCACTCCAGCCTGGGAGTGAAGAGTGAGACTCCGACTCAAAACAAACAAACAGACAAAAAAACAAAGTCTACAGGGCTTTAAGTTTTTTTATTTATTTATTTATTTTATTTTTTAATCTTTAGTGCATTAGAAATGTTTTAGAAAGAATTGTGTGTAGTTCCCAAATGTTATCATAGAGGAAATTTACTGTGTCTCTCCCCCTCCACCTGACCCCCCCCTTTAACATCTCTGCTCAGTCCTCTCATTCTCTGTCCGTGTGCTGAGGGTAGACTTCACCCATGCCCTAGGGATGGCGCAACAACTCAGGCCGAAGTCAATCGCAGCACAGCACTTTCTGATTCAGAGATGAGCAAATGACTTATTTTGATGAAACCAAAGTGATCTTGGGAATAATTTGGTATTTGAGAAGACACTTCCCTGTCCATATAGAGACTGAGAAAAGCCAAGTGCTAAGGAATCAGAATCCAGTTTGCATTAAACCACTCACTCAGCTCCTAAACTTTACATTTTATTCAAGACAGTTTGGGTTGGGTTTGCTTTCACTTAAACTAAAAATATACTGGTAATAAATGATTTTTGTTTCAAAATAAGACTATTGTACCCCACATCTTTATAATAAATAAATAAATTTTTTTAAGAAAGACTAATTGGAGTGATATCAACCTGAAAAAGCCCATTTCTCCACAATAGCAGTAGATAATCTGGCAAACTGTGAGAATCAATTTTATTGGGAACTCTAAAAGTAAATCCAAAATTTAGTGACTAGGCAAATATTTAATCTAGAAAAAAAATAGCTGAATCTCTCTGTAAGTGAGCTTTCTGGACTTTTTTTTTTTTTTTTTGAGACAGAATCTTACTCTGTCGCCCAGGCTGGAGTGCAGTGGCACACTCATGGCTACAGGAGTCTCAATTTGCTGGGCTCCAGCGATCCTTCCACCTCAGCCTTCCAAGTAGCTGGAACTACAGGCGTGTACCACCACACCTGGCTAATTTTTTGATTTATTGTAGAGACGAGGTCTTGCCAAGTTGCCCAGGATGGTCTTGAACCCATGGGCTCAGGCAATCCTCTTGCCTTGGCCTCCCAAAGTGCTGGGATTACAAGCTTGAGCCGCTACACCTGGCCCTCTGGGCTTTTTTGTAAAAGACAAGGTTCTTGCTCTGTCACCCAGGCTGGGGTGCAAGTGGCTCATAGCTCACTGCAGCCTTGACCTCTTGGTTTCAAGTAATCTTCCTATCTCAGGCTCCCGAGTACCTGGGATGACAGGCATGTGCCACTCTACCTGGCTAATTTAAAAACTTCTTTTTTTTGTAGACATGAGATTTTGCTATGTGCCTAGGCCACACAGCAAAACCTAACTCCTGGCCTAAAGCTATCTTCCCACCTCATTCTCCCAAAGCACTGAGATTATAGGTGTGAGCCACTGTGTCCAGTTACTTTATGGCATTTTAAACTAAACCTAACCCTGTTTCCTGGCTCCCTAGATAACAGCCTGCATTCCAATATAGGTTCCTAGTACAAGAGGAACATATTCTTAAAGAATTTTGGTTTAGCCGGGCTCGGTGGCTCAGCCTGTAATCCCAGGCTTTGGGAAGCTGAGGTGAGTGGATTGCCTAAGCCCATGGGTTCGAGACCCACCTGGGCAACTTGGCGAGACCTCATTTTTACAATAAGTCAAAAAATTAGCCAGGTGTGGTAGCGCGTGCCTGTAGTTCCAGCTACTTGGAAGACTGAGGTGGAAGGATCGCTGGAGCCCAGCAGGTCGATGCTGCAGTGGCCAGGAGCGGCCACTGCACTCCAGTATGGGCGACAGAGTGAGACTCCAACTCAAAAAAAAAAAAATTTTTTTTTGGCTTTTTCTCACCTATCTGGTAGCTCTCTGAAGGCGCACCTCTTTGCCTTTATTTTTTCCCTCAGGGCTGAGTTAAGGTGGGGAGTTTGTTGAAAACATTTAAGACAAATACAGTAGTCACTGACACTGGGGGCAAGGAATACCAGTTTTCTGCAAATAATACACAAATTTAAAGCTTAGGAATGAAATACTTCGGGGAATAAGAAACTGGAAAACACTCAAGTATTTCTGGTAATCTAAAGGGCCACGTGCTTACCCAGGACTGAGCACATGTGCAGAAAAGACTGAAAAGGCCCTAGGCTCTCACCTCTGGCTGACCTTCCAGATCTGCACAAACAGCAGGTGATGGATAAGTCAGAGTTGTAAACTGTCTGGCTGAGTGTCCAAGGCATGCTAGAATTAGTTTGCACAATGTTGTAAATGTACTAAAAGCACCTGAATTGTGTACAAACTTTAAAATGATTATTACATGAACTCTAATCTCAACTACAAAAAAGAGATTTCAAAGGGGGTTACGAAATTAAAAGAGGAGAGAGAGACTCTAGCTGGCAGTGAGACCCTTCTTTCCTACAGTCCCCAACTCCAGAGAGTACCTGTGGAAAAGCTCTTTAAATTGATTTAAATAAGTGATTTGTACTGTATATGATTTGTATCTTAAAACTGTTAAAAAATAGCAACACCTTAGGGAAAAAAGACATTAAAATCAAGAGTGAACTAAAATTATAGTATACTATTATCTGTAAATATCCTTTTCTGAAAACATTCAAAAACAAACTGAGTAAGGGCCAGGCATGATGGCTCTTACCTGTAATCGCAGCACTTTGGGAGGCCAAAGCAGGAGGACTGCTGAAGACCAGGAGTTCAGGCCAGCCTGGGCAACACAGTGAGACCAGTCTCCATTAAAAAAAAAAAAACCCACAGTTAAATTAACTGAACGGGTCAGGCATGGTGGGTGGCTCACAGATGTAATCCCAGTACTTTGGGAGGCCAAAGTGGGAGGATTGCTTGAGCCCAGGAGTTTGAAACCAGCCTGGGCAACACAGTGAGATCTCATGTCTACAAAAAATAAAAAAGTTAGCCAGGTGTGGTGGTACATGCCTGTGGTTCCAGCTATTTGAAAGCAGGAAGATTGTTTGAGCCTAGGAGTTCGAAGCTGCAGTGAACCGTGATCGTGCCATTGCACTCTAGCCTGGGCAACAGAATGAGATCTGACCCAAAAAAGAAAAAAAAATACTGAATGCTTCACATATATAAATACTTACTGAGTACAATGATAGCCTCGAACCTCAGGCTTTGGCTGGTGTTTCTTAAAGTGCTTGCTGAGTCCAGATCCCCTATGAAAAGACTTTCCACAAACTGAACAAAGGTACTTGGACTCTCCTACAAAAAAATAAAAAGCTTTGTCACAAATCTAGCAATCAATACTCTTTCAACAGAATTCCTTATGTCACATTTCAGAAGTTATTTTACCAAGAGGACATGGGAGCTATAACATCTGGCAGACATCTTCTAAGAAAACTAATAAACTACATTCAAATCCATATTTTTTTCTCAATGACTGCAGTACTGCAAAGGCTACTACCCAAAGAATATGACATACTTGTATAATGTGTGGATTGCAATAGAAATAGAGTTGGAAGCCAGGCTCGGTGGCTCAGCCTGTAATCCCAGCACTTTGGGAGGCTGAGGTGAGTGGATAGCCTGAGCACACGGGTTCGAGACCCACCTGGGCAACTTGGCGAGACCTCATCTCTACAATAAATAAAAAAATTAGCCGGGCATGGTAGTGCATGCCTGTAGTTCCAGCTACTCGGAAGGCTGAGGCGGAAGATCACCGGAGCCCAGCAGGTCGAGGCTGCGGTGGCTGGGAGCGGCCACTGCACTCCAGTCTGGGTGACAGAGTGAGACTCCAACTCCAAAAAAAAAAGAAATAGAGTTGGATACAAGTTCTAAAAAAAAAAGAAATAGAGTTGGATACAAGTTCTATAGCAGGTATCTACACTTCATTGGCCATTCTCACATTTCCACTTTAAAGCATCTAAAAATAAGTATATGTGGAAAAAATTTAATAAAATTATAAACCATCTACCATTTACATCTGCCTAATATTTAACTTTTTAGCCTGGATCTAAATTATGCTTGACCTTTTTTTGAGTTGGCGTCTCACTCTGTTGCTCAGGCTGGAGTGCAGTGGCACGCTCCCAGTCACCATAGCCTTGACCTGCTGGGGTCAGGTGATCCTTCCGCCTCAGCCTTTCAAGTATCTGGAACTACAAGCGCGCACTACCATGCCCAGCTAATTTTTGACTTATTGTAGAGGCAAGGTCTTGCCAAGTTGCCCAGGCTGGTCTTGAACCCACGGGCTCAGGCAATCCACTCGCCTAGACCTCCCAAAGTGCTGGGATTACAGGCTGAGCCACTGAGCCCAGTCTATGCTTGATTTTAACACTTGGTACATATACATTTTTATACTCGGGAAAGCAATAAATTATTTTTTATACAAATCACACAACTATAAAACTAGGTTTAAGATAAACTCTTAACTTTAAATACCATCTCATTAATAAAAAACTAAAAAAAAAAAACCCCAAACACACAGCATAATCATTATAATAAATTAACAGTATGTAAAATATAACTATGTTAATATAAATTTCTCATTACCTGTGTGAATGCTCATATGTTCCTGAAGACTCCGTTTGGTAACAAATGACTTAACACATAGTTCACACTGGAACTGCTTTTGTGACTGATGGAGACTCTGGTGTAATTTTAGACCATGCTTATAGATAAAAGTCTTTCCACAGACCTAAGACGGAACAGGGATATTAAGTCAGTAAAACAAAAAGAGAGATAGGTGCTGTTTTTGAAAATGAGGACAAAGAAACTAGTAAATTATGGTAAGTAAATATTTAAGTTATTTAACTTAAATTATAAACAAAGTGACAAAGTGCAAGTTGAAACAAATATCAAGGACATTAGCAAGCTGACCCTCTTCTGATTTAATACTTAATAAATACTGCTACAATTGTTCTTAAATCCATGTATCACTGAAGAAGGAGCTCAAAATAGTAAAAACAAAAAATCTCATGCTGTCTTTGAGACTGGTAAACTATACCTTATAATAAAAGACATGGGGGTCTCAGGAAACTATGCTATTTCCTGCTACACCAACTAGAACAGTGCTTTTAAAACTAAAGCTGGCTAATCACAGGATTTATTACCCTGGGGTAATATTTAGGTACTCCTCAGCTCTAGAAGAACACAGCTTAGGAGGGATTTTTACTGACCAAGATTTGTTTAAACCATGGATTATTTTCCAGTCCAGGTTGGGGCTGCTTAAAGTTAAGGAATGACTGGGATGACAAGTTAGTTATTTTTACCCTGTACATCCTCAGGATTCAATTAGCTTCATGAACATCTTAAACAGATTCTTTACAAATTACAACTTCAGAGAGCAAGTTAAATAACACAAAAGGGAATCATCCTTGATCCAGGCAACAAACTAAAGAAGTCATACATTTCCTTGACATTTTACAAGAGTGACAGTGGCTCTGGAATACATATCACCAGTCTCATCCCCATAGTTAAGTTCTAATCATCTTTAAATAAGTAAAATAAACTTCTCTAAATAAAAAAATTTTCAGTATCAAAACAGGTGCACAGTAAAATAAAACAAATAACAAAATAAATGTTCTGGCTTTACCTGGCATGCATGCGGCTTTACACCTGTGTGCTTTAACATATGTATTCGAAGAGAATACAATTTAGGTAATGTCCTTCCACAAATGGAACATATAAATTCCCGTTTGGTTCTGCCCTTCTCAGACGATCCTGATGCCTCATTAGATGTGGAACTGGACGAAGATGAAGTGGGTGCATCTTTTCTGGTATGACGAATAAGGTGTGCTCGCAAGGAGGCACTGTACTGAAATTGTTTTTTACACAACTAAAAAAAAATTGTGTGAATATATTCCCATTACAAAATGTCAAGTGAAACTCATTTATACTTTCTATTGCTGTTACAATTATATAAGCCAATAAATGTATATACTACACATACACTACGTAAAAGACAACATGTGCCAGATTATAGAGAATAGGGACTCAGGCCCTATCTTGAAGAGGCTTAAAATCTAACCATTAAAGCACACAATTTATATATACAGGGGCACCAAAAAATGAATATACATTTTAAGAGATGGTATCTATGTATTACTTTTCAAAGTTGAATTAAATTATGGTAATGTGTAGTATGATGTTCACGCAACAGTGTTTCCGCCATTTTCTTTGTCCTGCTGGTCACATGGCGGTGCTAGCATTCATTTGATTAACACCACCTTCTGAGCGAATGTCATACTTAAAATGTGTATATATTTTTCTGGCACCCCCATATGTACATATATACACATACATAAACACACACACACACACACACACACACACACATATGGTAAGTATTTAAAAGGGGTAATCAGAGCAATGAGGAAAGGCATCGTCAACAAAGCCGGGCTTGAATTGGGTCTTAAGGGAATAGCAGGACACAAAATTATCATTAGAATGAGCATTAACAGTTGTTAGGTGGAGCAGAAATAGGGACTGGAAAAAGTAAAAAGGTTAAGACTATGATGGTTTTTGGATTTTATCCTGCAGTAGTTGAGAATTCATGCAAGCTCTTGTCCTTTTTAAGTCAGGGTCTCATTTTGTTGCCAGGATGTGGCACGATCACAGCTCACTGCAGCCTCAAGCTCCTGGGCTCAGGTGATCCTTTAACCTTAGTCCTCTACAGTAGCTGTCCCGGTTATGCTACTATGCCTAGGGCTGGTTGTTTTTGTCCTTTTTAAAATCAAAGTCATTTATGTTCATCATCTACAAAACCTACTTTTTAAAAACAATAAATAAAACTTGTCTCTTGGTCTATCATCTCCACAATAGGTCGCTTCTATGGCTGACTTTTTTGACTTTCTCAGTGTCTATTTTTGTAACTCTAAATAACATACATAATGGAAGTTGACTTCTTTACTCCTCTACTCACATATGTAAATGATTTCCATCACTCTATGTGGTTACATCATATTTTTTAATAGATCAATTTCAGGGCTTACATTTTAACAAGTAAGTGTTATCACTGGGCCACATATAGTACACTATGATTCCTTTACCTTTTCTGTTTTCTTTTACTCATTTATTTTGTATTTACCACGAATTCATCATTAAACCCTTTCAACTGCCAAGTATACTGGTTCACACCTGCAGCCCCAGCACTGCTGGGGGCAGAGGCGAGAGGATTGTCTGAGCTCAGAGGTTCGAGACCAGCCTGGGCAATTTGGTGAGACTGTCCCTACAATGAATCAAAAAATTATCCAGGTGTGGTAGCATATACCTGTAGTTTCAGCTACTTGGAAGGCTGAGGCAGAAGGACTGCCTGAGCCCAGAAGGTCGAGGCTGTGGTAGCCATGGTTATATTAATACAACTACACTCCAGCCTGGGTGACAGAGATTCTGACTCAAAAAAAAAACAACAAGAAAAAAAGAAAAAAAAAGGAAAAAACCCAACTGTCTACTGAGAGGACATTTAAAACATACCACCCTAGCTGGGCTCGGTGGCTCAGTCTGTAATCCTGCGCCTTTGGGAGGCTGAGGTGAGTGGATTGCCTGAGCCCGCGGGTTCGAGACTCGCCTGGGCAACTTGGTGAGACATGATCTCTACAATAAATAAAAAATTAGCTGGGCGTGGTAGCGCCTGCCTGTAGTTCCAGTTACTTGGAAGGCTGAGGCTGAAGGATTGCTGGAGCCCAGCAGGCCGAGGCTGCGGTGGCCGAGAGCGTGCCACTGCACTCCAGTCTGGGCGACAGAGTGAGACTCCAACTCAAATAAATAAATAAATAAATAAAAAATAAAACGGCCACTGCAGCCTCAACCTGCTGGGCTCAGGTGATCCTCCTACCTCAGCCTTCCAAGTAGCTGGAACCACAGGCGCAAGCCACTGTGCCTGGTTAATTTTTCTTGATTTATTGTAGAGATCATGTCTCGTCAGGTTGCCCAGGCTGGTCTTGAACCCATAGGCTCAGGCACTCCTCTCACCTTAGTCTCCCAAATTGCTGAGACTATAGGTGTAAGCCACTGAGCCCAGCCAGAAATAATTTTTTTAGAATTTTAAAGACATTGGCCTTGTCTTCTAGAAGTTTCCATATTGTTGTTGACAGGCCTGAAGCCATCCTAATCCTTAGTTCTTTCTATGAGACAGACCATGGCTTTCCCTCCTTCTGTCAATCTGTGGATGGTGGTGGGGGGTGGGCATACTTCATCAATAAGGGTACCTGACCTCAAACCAGGTGACGGGGGGGGGAACCAAAGTGAGGCCCAAACTTTATCTGTACAATGACCATTTGTATACCTAACCCTGAATTGTACCCCACATCTTTAAATATAATAATGCTTTCTCTTTGTCCCAATTCTGATATTTGATAATGTACTTTCAAAGTTTTATTTTAATTGGGTTCTGGATTTTCAATGTACACTTTTAACATGGAAACTTCTATCTTTAAGTTGTGAAATTTTTCTTTGATTGTCACATCAGTGCTTTCCTTCCCTTTATATTCTGTTTGAAAATATTTACTTGTCAAGGGGAAAAAAAGAAATATTACTTGTCTATTGGAAATCTTAGGCTATTGGAAATCTCTAGTTTTCTCTTTCAGTTCTATTTTCTTACTTGTCTTATTGCTTTATTTTCTGAGAGATTGAATCAGTTTACTGACTTTTCTGAGGGTTTTTTTGTATGTTATTATGTATTTTATTCCTAAAAAGCTCTTCTGTTTCCTTCTTCCTCCCTCCTTCCTGTCTGGATCTCACTCTGTTGCCCAGGCTGCAGTACAGCAGCACAATCACAGCTCACCAAGCCTCAACTTCCTGGGCTCAGGTGATCCTTCCACCTCGACCTCCCAAAAAGCTGGGACTACAGGTGCATGCTACCTCACCCAGCTAGTTTTTCGTAGAATCAAGGTTTCCCTACATTGCCCAGGCTGGTGGTCTTGAACTCCTGGGCTTGAGTAAGCCTCCTGCTTCAGCCTCCCAAAGCGCTGCAATTACGGGCATGGGTCACCACTTCCAGCTCTTCTGTTCCTTAATGTGCCCTTTTAAAAACATAGCACCTGGTTACTGTTTAGCAGATGCAATTTTTTCATTTATCTCTTCGATAAATCATATATTGTGAATTTTTTTTTAGTTTTCTCTATAGTCTTGGATTCCTCAAAGTTGTTTTTTCTTGAAATCTTTTGTCTTGAGTCTAATAATCCCTATAAGACATTAAAAAATTGACTAAAAAAAAATTTTTAAGGCCAGGAACAGTGGCTCATGGCTGTAATCCTAGCACTTTGGAAGGCTGAGGCAAGAGGAGCACTTGAGGCCAGGATGAGATCAGCCTGAGCAACACGAGGCAAAACAACAAAAAATTAGACAGGCATGATACTGCACAACTATAGTCCCAGCTATTTAGGAGGCTGAGGAGGTCAAGGATGAGCCCAGGAGGCCCATGATTTAGTTCTAATGCCCTCTAACCTGAGCGACAAAGTGAGACCCTGACTCAAAAAAACAAAACAAACAAAAACTGACTACAATTTCTGTGTAAGCAGGGAGAGGGTACTTGTTAACCACAAGGTTTAATCAACAGTATCTTTAGGTTTTTTGTTATGGGCTTCAGATTTTTCAGCTCTGTGAAATCTTTTTTGCTTTAGGGTTAAGGGTCTGGATTCCAACACTGGCACTTGAGTAAAGAGAACTTGTATTTTGGGAGCCAAGGTCGGAGACCAGCCTGAATACAGTAAGACCTTTTTCTACCAAAAAAAAAAAAAAAGCAGCAGCAGCTGGGCATGATGGTTTGCCTGTAGTCCTAGCTACTAAGGAGGTAGAGATGGGAGCATTGCTTGAGCCAAGGGGTTCGAGGCTACAGTGAGCTATAATTGAGCCACTGCACTGTAGCAACAGAGTGAGACCTGTCTCTGAGAGAAAGAAAAAGAAAGAAGCAGGACATGACGGCCCATGCCTGTATTCCCAGCACTTTGGGAGGCTGAGGTGAGAGGATTACCTGAGCCCAGGGATTCTAGGTCAGCCTGGGCAACTTGGCAAGACCTCGTCTCTACAATTAATAAAAAAAATTAGCTGGGTATGGTGGCACACGTCTGTAGTTCCAGCTACTTGGAAGTGGTGGTACATGCCTGTAGTTCCAGCTTTGGAAAGCTGAGGCAGAAGGATCACCAGAGCCCAGCAGGTCGAGGCTGCGGTAGCCTGCACTCTAGCCTGAGAAACAGTGAGAGGGGAGGAGAGGAGAGAAAAAAGGAAGGAAAGGAAGGAAGAAAGGGAAAACTTGAAAGGTTTCAATATTCAGCATGTAAGCTTTTACTTTTCCCTGTTTGTGGTACAGTACATCTATCTTCACCGTACATAATGCTTCCCAGAGCAGTTATGGTTTTATCTTTTCCAGAGAGTATAAGAAGGATCCTCGGCTGAGCGCACAGGGATGATAATTTAATTGCTTCTACTTTAATGGTAGCTATTACTACTAATTCCTGAGACTGTCTGGTGATTCTGCAATACAATATGGGCAAATTCTTAACTCTTCCTACTGGAAATAAGTCCTTTTAAATGTGCTGAATCAGTTATTCCACCTATTTATTTGTATTCAGAACTTAGTTGTCAAGATGTTCTCTTTGCCTTTTTATGAGTTAATATATATATTTTTGAGTTGGAGTCTCACTCTTTCGCCCAGGTTGGAGTGCAGTGGCACACACGCTCACAGCCACTCCAGTTTCAACCTTCTGGGCTCTGGCAATCGTTCCGCCTCAGCCTTCCAAGTAGCTGGAACTACAGATGCACGCTACCATGCCTGGCTATTTTTTTTTTTTAATTGTAGAGACGAGGTCTAGCCAAGTTGCCTGGGCTGGTCTTGAACCCACAGGCTCAGGCAAACCACTCGCCTCAGCCTCCCAAAGTTCTGGGATTACAGGCTGAGCAACTGAGCCCGACCCTGAGTTAATATTTTTTAAATGATCTTTTTACTGTTATTTTACTAGGATATCAGGAAGGAGAGATAAGTCACTGAATAGTTTAGGGGACATTAAATGACATACATGAATCAGACGATGACTCTTATAGCCATATAAATGAGTCAGAAATAGAACACAAGTGGTAGGATATCAATCAAGCAGTAAACTGGATTCGATTTATTATGAGATTAGAGCCATTTTCAATTAGCTTTCCATATACTTACTGGACATTTGTAATCTCTAGCTCTCTCATGTTTTAGTTTATGCATTATAAGTGCATATCGTCTCTGAAAAACCATTCCACATTCTCCACATTTATGGGATGCTTCTTCCATGTTCTCTTTAGCATCCCTTTTTGGCTGTTTCATCTTTTTTCCTCTTTGAACTAACTTCTGGGCCACCTAATAAAGGGCAGAAATCACAAGCTAATATGCTCAGTTTTGATCTTAAAAGTCATGTTACAAATTTCTAACAAAAATATTTCAAATTTATACACATTATCTTAATATGTATTAAAACATTAAGTTGCTGCCCTGCACCTGTCTCCCTCCCAAATAGTTTTTACCATGGTCATAAGTTCATCAAAAGAATGCTTTCAGCCTAGAGCTACAATGTCAAAGATCAGCCCTTTTTACATCGTACCTGTTGAACTGCTGACTTGGAAATGGCTTTCCGTTTCTGAAGCTTTTTCTCCACTCCCTTGTGTAGTCGGATGTAGCCTCCTTCAGTAACAGAACGCTGTCGAAGCCTACTTCTGTAAGTGTCATCATCGGGGCCAAAGTCTGCCTTCGCTGTCAGTGTGTCTACATTTTCCTGATCTTTTAAAGGTTGGCTAAGGCCCTGCCTATGTTGTAGAATGTCTTCGGCACAGATATCCTCAGCTGGGGTATCATTTCCCACAACACTTTTTTCTGGAGACCTACTGACGACATTCTCTTTTGCAAGTTTAGGAGGACTACTAGAAACTGTGCTATCTTCCCTGCTGTCTGAAGTTTCTAGCTCCGTCTGATTGTTTTTGGTTATTAATTCAACAGGCTCCATTTCAGGATGGGAATCAGTTGTACATCCCACAGAAGACAGCGCAGCTTCAGCCTCCGAAGAAACCTGAGGCTCAGGCTGTTGTCCTAGCTCTCCACTCTGCTCAGCTTCTGGCATTTCTCCATTTACCAGTAGTACAATTTCACAATCCCCAAGTTCAGAAGACAAAGCTGCTGTGCTTCCTTCATTGCTAACCACAGGAGGTGCTGTACCTCCATTCTGTACTGGTAAGTCCTGGGTAGATGCGACTGTTTGTACTTCGCCCTTCTTGTATACTGTTAGCTGCTTCTCTTCCATTAGCTTATGTACATTTTCACAAATCTCTAAGACTTCTGACATGAAAAGATGACGAGCTAAGATGGCTACATCAGCCATACTGCAGAAGTCAAAGCTTAACACAGAAGTATAGGCAAATTCCAGTAAAGGAAGGAAGCTTGCCTTGCAAAAACCTAAATGACACAAGAAAGGTGAGGACAAAGAAGTGAATTACCACCAAAACACTTTACAGGAACAACATAGAATTATGACCATATAAAATATAATACAAGGCAAGTATGATCATTTATTCTGCAATTAGTTATCCCTGTATTTGCTTTCTGTCCTGGTTTCTTATTAAACCTTGACTAACTCACTTCTATGAGCTGAGTCTCTTAATACCCAATATGGAAAATAATATCAGACTTACTACCTCAAAAATGTGGTAAGGCAGTCATTTTCAAAATGTACTCCTTAGAACCCCAGGGATTCCTCAAATTCCCCTCAAGGAACAACTGCTAGAGAATGGAAGGTAAAAAAAAAAAAAAGAGGGAGGCAGGTGAATAGGCAGGGTGCAACCAACCTGTCCACTAAACTCACTTCAGTAAATATAGATATATCTTTAGACAACAGATGGTCATATAAAAATTTGAACAGTGTTCTATCACTAAAAACCAAAATCCAAAAGCTAAGGCAGAAGTCAGCAAAATTTTTCTGGCATCAGATGATAAATATATATAGAAGGCCATAGGTATCTATTGCAATTGCTCAGCTTTGTAATTGTAGCTAGAAAAAGATGTACAACTTTTCCTTCCTCCCTCCCTCCCTCCCTCCCTTCACTTTACAGATGAGGTCTTGCCAAATTGCCCAGGCTAGTCTGGAACCCTTGGGCTCAGGCAATCCTCTTGCCTCCACCTCTCAAACTGCTGGGATTCTACGCCCAGCACCACTTTCTTTATAAAAAGGAAAGGGAGGGAGATGGGCCCTTGGGTTATAGTTTGCCTAATCTGGATCTAAGGAATGAAATAAAACTATTTACTCAAGTATATGCTTGAGGTATTAAATTCATCTTATCTTATATGAAAAAATAAGTTTATTTCTTTTCTAAGTTCTTAGTGCTTCATTTTCTATCTCTCTCTCTCTTTTTTTTTTTTAGTTAGAGTCTACTCTGTTGCTCAGGCTGGAATGCAGTGGCATGCTCACGGCCACCACAGTCTTGTCCTACTGGGCTCAGGTAATCCTTCCACCTCAGCCAAATAACTGGAACTGCAGGCATGAGCCAACATGCTCAGCTAATTTTTTTTTTTTTAATTGTAGAGGTTTGATTTATTGTAAGGTCTCACCATGTTGCCCAGGCTGGTCTCGAACCACTGGACTCAGGCAATCCTCTCACCTCTGCCTTCCAAAGTACTGGGATTATAGGCGTGAGTCACTGTGCCTGGCTTGTGTTTCATTTTCAAAAGCCATTTTAATAATTAACATCCATATGACTCAAAAAACAGAAAAAACATTATCCAGTGATAATTCTAACACTATCTCCATAACCAGCATGATTAAAAGTTTGTATAGCTTTCCAGAGTTTTTTTTTTTTTTTTTTTTTTGAGTTGGAATCTCACTCTGTCACCCAGGCTGGAGTGCAGTGGCATCACAGCTCACTGTGGCCCCGACTTCCCAAGCTCAGGTGATCCTTCCACCTCAGTTTCCCAAGTAACCGGGACTACAGGTATTAGCAATCATGCCTGGCTTAATTTTTTATTTTTTTGCAAAGAGGTCTTGCTGTGTTACCCAGGATGGTCTTGAACTCCTGGCCTCAAGACATACTCTAGCTCAGGTGTGAGCCACCACGCCCAGCCCAGTTTCTTTATACAATGAAGCAAATATTCTTATTCCCTCTTCTTACACTAGGTATTGTATTACATATACTGTCCTGAACTTTGTGTTTCTTATATAATAATTTATCTTAGGGGTTTCTTTTAAATATATAATTTAGAGTCAATGCCACTTTTAAAAAATTCCCGCCGGGCTTGGTGGCTCAGCCTGTAATCCCAGCACTTTGGGAGGCTGAGGTGAGTGGAT